ATAATAGTAACTTTTTTTTGGATTGATGTAAAGAAAATGTATTTTCAGTCAGTGTACAAAGCTGAATATTTCCTGAGAAAAATCGTGTCTCTAGGCCTAATATTAATATATTTTACTATCGAGTCCCATGTCCCCCCCTTGAGTAGGATACACTCCATCATCCATTCTTTGTCGTACTGCACCCCACAACTGTTCTTCCTTTTTGCTACTTCGAAGCACTTCCTCACAGTAAGTTGTTGCTTTGGAGACAGCAAGCTTATTTTTGCTTCCAATACTTCAGCAGTTGAAGCAGACTGATCCTTTAACCTACGGACATCTTTTGCAAGGTTCCCCAGCTTCACCATGAGCCTGTTGTTCCTGCGAGCGCACACCTTCAGTTTTTTCACAGTGCTGCTGCAGGTCCTTGATGTCTGGCATCTTTTTGTTATCCGCAACAGCTTTGTAACGAGCGCCGTTCTCAAATACTTGCAGCTGAAGCAGGGTGTTCCTTCTTATATTGTGCTTCCAAGGCACTTGACACTAAAGCCTGTTCCTGACTTCAACTCAAGCTGTCGTTGCAAATTCACAGTAATGTCCTCTGTCAACGATTCAGCTTCAGGTCCCGCACCTTTGCACAAATGCGGATTTCCCTTGAATGAAAGTTTTCGAGTCGATACCACCATCGTACCTCACAGTAAAAAACACTGCCCTTTCTACATTCACTTCACCTGTGCAAGCATTCAATGAACAAGACGTAAAGCACGCACTGTAAACATTCTGAAATTCGTGAAATGTCCAGTACATGTTCGGAAGTTTCACAACCCTCAAAGTTGCAATCGTTGCAAGGGGGTCATCGCTCCTCGTGGGCTCGCTGAGGACACCAGACCCACTTGAAGGAAAACTTTCCCGCACATCTGGTTCGTTCGTGGTTGACAGCTGTCGCTTTTTTCGAGGCCCAATATCCTCTTCAGCTCTCTTCCTTTTGCTTCTTTCAGGAGGCAAGCGCTTGCTCAAATGTGGGGCAATATTTGGCAGAATGGTGGGAACCGCGTGAGGCGTTAGCGTTGGCATACCGCGAGGAATCTGTACAGCCTTTCCGTTGATAAAGTGCACATAGTCCTGAACGATGAAGCGCTGCTCAAAGTGCAGCTCACACACAGCGGAATCCAGTGTTAGTCTCTTGTCGCCTCTCTGCAAATGGCGTTCCCAAACGCTTCGAGAATACTCTGAGCTGCATTTAAGAGCGAAGCAATGGTTTAAGTGTTGCTTTTTAAGAACTATTTACACATTATAGCATCACAACTTGAGCTAAAAGCGGGAGAATCACTTCCAAATGGGTGCGCTCCGGCCCAAGAACCAGCAACACGATGCAACCGCCTTGACCACCTTCAAGAGTGGGCGACTGAAGCGCCACCACTTCGTTCGTCATCGGCCCCTATGGGTCACCACCTCTGTCCGCTTTACTGCCCCTTCTAGTACACTGGTGGTGGTAGTGGTTAGAAGAGGAAAAAGGCGCCCAATTTCTTCAACCCGGTAGGGAGCATGGCGCAGTGCCTGCAGGGATGAGGAATGGGAGAAAAGTGGATAGAAAAGAAAAGGTTAGGTAAGCAGTGGCGCAGGCGTCTTCAGCATGGACAGCAGTCCGGCAGCAAGAATAGAGGTAGCAAGGGTCCTGTTCTCAGCGTTAGGCCGCGATTCCCGTCTCGTCCGGGCACTCCACCCGGCTCCGGAGCTCTGGTAGATGGGGATGAGATGAGAAGAGCAGGTGCTCCAGGGTGGTGGCAGGAAGGCCACGTCTCCGGTAGGCTGCGGTGACCCTCCAAAGTTCCTGTGCCAAGGCAAGGCAGGTACAGAGAAGCTCGAGGGTCTTGGGGCCGCCACAGCGGCTGCAGGCTGCGGAGGTGCAGCGTCCCTTGATGTACACTCTAAAAAAATATTGAGTAAAAAGGGTGTCTTTGTGTCCCACAACAATAATCGTCATCAGGCTTGCATGCGCTTCCTTTCTTGAAAACTCGGCGCTGGCCACTTTCTTATCGAGAATGCAATGTAAACCTGATAATGGGCATGTAGATCATGACCGGAATGTACCGGGCGCGGGGCGATAGCGCAAGGATGGAACGCAATATAAATGACGATTATTGTTGTGGGACAAAAAGACACCCTTTTTACTCGCTCTTTTTTTAGAGTGTAGCGGCGGGCGGCGGTCCACACGCATCTGGTCCGCAGCCGCAGCAGGTCGGCTCAGTTTCCTGGTAAGGCCTGCCTCCGGAAGCTTCTTGATGCGAGCCTGGGTGTAGTCCCTGGCCGCCACAGCCTAGGTGATGGGGGTGCCCGGCTGGTGTGCTGCCTTGCCCAGCTTGTCCGCCTCCTCGTTGCCAGCTATGCCCGCGTGAGAGGGCAGCCAATGGAAGGAGATGGACGGCCTGGTCGCCACAAGAACCTGGTACTTGGATGTCAGGAGATTCTCCGTGAACCCGGCACGGCGATGGTTGGCCAGTGTCTGCAGGACCGCCTTGCTATTGCACAGGACTGCAACCAGCTCAGCAGGGATGTCCTCGGCCAGTAGGTCTGCCGCTAGGTGTAGGCCCGCCAGCTTTGCAGCGGTCGAGCTCGCTGGGAAGAGTAGTCGGCACTGCGTGCCGACAGCCCAGATGAGATGACGCAGGAAAGGCAGCTGCTGCTGTACCGTCTGACATTACGGAATCGTCAAAGACCTGGAGCTGGCCTGCCAGTTGCTCCTGGAGCTAGAGATGGTGGCCTGTTGCAGTGCTGCAGCAGGCGTTTTCGCGCTTGGTTGCCCCATCCAAGGAGAGGTGGACCTCAGGTGGCCAGTGATAAGGCGGTGGAGGAGCCACCGGGACTGGCGGATCCGGGACCATCTGGTGGTAGAGTGCCCAGAGACCGCCCATCCGTGACCTCATCTGGCTGTGAAGTCGCTTCAGGAGGGTGCTGCCGTCGATGGCACGGTGAAGGCGGTCGACGTGAGCATGCGCAGGGACAGGAGCCACTCTCCGGCCTCGGTCTGGGCCGCTACCACAGGGAAGTACTCGAGGAGCCCCAGGATGGCCCTCACTGCTTTGCTGTAATGTCCCTTCAGGTCCAGTCTCCTGGCAGGCGTCAAAGCCACCAGTGGGAAGGCGTTCAGCAGGACCGAGGATGCAGAAGCCTGGTTCAGCCGTAGAGCCAGCTTTGTGGAGCAGCCACAGCCACACTGCTGCAGCTTGCTGATGGCTCCCTCGACACGTTGGACCTGTGTGGTGGCACCTTGGCAGCTGGGATCCACGTGAGCTGGTGGTCGCTGGTGAGCCCAGGTACTTCACCGTCAGCTTCCAAGGCAGGCAGCGGTTGCTGACCCTCAACTGCTTTGTACACTGTACCAGAGCCCTCGCAAATGCCTTGGGTGGCGACGCCCCATATATTGAGCATTGTTGGAATTACCGGAGAGGCGACTGCGAGCCTAACCGCAGATGTACACACCGGCAGCCGCTTCTCCACGGCACACTATCCACGAAGTGAATGATGATGAGTGGAGCGAAGCTGGAATGCTTATCGGCATGAGGAAGGCTGCTTATTGTAAAACCCTGAAACGCTCGTTGAAGCATGGCGGTAGCGTTGCCACGGGACTTGATTATTGAAAATGGAGGCGATGGTGGCATATATGCATACACACACAAGAGTGCACGGATGAACACACTAAAAGTATGATTGAAACACACACACGCCCCTCCCCAAAAAAAAAAACAATTTTGGCTACACTCCTGGCGACACCTATACGTCATCCATCAGCTAGGCGAGAAAGTGTGGGTCTGGAGATCTAGTATTCGCGGACGGAGACTTCAAAAAAAAATTCTGAAGAGGTATTTTGGTCTCTACATGAACAAAGTGCTTGATAGGGCTGGTTGGTGCTGCATAGTAGGTGAAGAATGGGGACATTCTTCGTCTACTATGGGCACATGGGCCTCGAAGGCAACAGAACAGCTGACGCCGCCGCCCGCATGCTCACTCTAGGGGCAACACCTTTCGACCCTTCCGAAATGAATCCAGAACTCTATCCGGCCTTCACATTTCGAGAAATGATTTAATTCCGCTAATTTGGCCAAGAAATTCATTCTAAGTCCTGTATGGGCCTTACAAAGGCAGAGAAGCGCACATTTGTTCACCTTTACACCAATACACTGATGTGCCCTGCAGTACTTCGATTCTGCCTGTACAGGAAAACCCCCACACCGTGTGGTGACACGTTTTTGGACATTCTCCACAAGGTGTGGGCATGCCAATTAACCAGGAACCTTGCTCCAAAACTCCACCCGGATGGACTGTGAGATGACGCTACTCGGCTGCTCCGACCTGGCGAGCCAGAAAGCCCTGGTCAATGGAGCCCGAGTTGCGGCTGTTGCCAATGGGCTTCTGTAATGAGGAGCCCACCTAATGATTGTGAGGGGTGGCACCTTCTGGGCCTTTCCAAACTTGCTCCCATTTCAGCAGCAATAAAAGTTTTTCAAGCAAGCAAGCAAGAAACTGTAGCCCCTCACAAACTTGCCAGCACAAATAAAAAATCACACGTATTCAAACTAACTTGCACCACACGTTTACTGCACCTTCCTTAGTACCGGGACGATGCTCTCGCCGAAGGGAGGCAAATGCCACATCCAGTATGCAGCCTGAAAAGAACAACGAAGGGCATGTGCAGCGGAAGAGGAACAAGAGGTATGTGCCACATTCCATAAGGCACAAACAAAAAAATCGGCTGGCCAGAGCTTTGTATTATTAAAGTTGCCGATTCTGCGCCGTGAGAATATAAATTGGTAAGCTGGACTTCAATAACTTACTATAGATATTACACCTTGTAACGTTTTCATTTCAAATGTAAACCCCTAACCGACTGCTCCTACAGTGACACTTCAGGGAATCAAGAGCGTGTCAGCATGATAAATCTAGGTGCACAGACAAATCAGGTGAACAAGAAAGTATCTCGAAATGTTAATTGGACGATGTTTCACAATGTTGTCCACCAGCAAAAGTTTCATTTTCGGCAGTATTTATTCTTTATTTTTGTAAGCACTTGAACACGCACATTGCATCTCAACGAGTCGTGGCGTTCAGACAGTCGCATTGCGGCACAAAACCACCATAAATCGTCATCAGCATATTCTACGGACCGCACGTAGTATACAGTGATGTTTGTCAATCGAGTCTGTTGCGTTTCAGCTGTTCCTCGTATTCGCGCAGTGGCACTCCCGGATCATAGCGGTACGCTGCAAGTGCGCGGAATCGCAGAGCTTTCAGCTTTCGCAGCTTCTCCTTTTCGTTGATGCGCAGCTTCACTTTGGGGGCATTGCTCAGCAACTTGTTCTGGTTCAGCAGCGCTCGTCGGTGCAGGGACTCCCAATACTGAGGCGTCTCTGGGTCCATCTCCGACAGAGGTGGCGGTCCGTTCAGCGGAAGCTCCCACAGCCAGGACGGATACGCTTCGTCGGCCCCCAGTTCGACGTCCTCGCCTTCTTTGAGTATATTGCTGCCGCAGCAGAATCGCACCAGTTTTCCTGGATCCGTCTCTACCGGCAGCTTTTTTCTCTTGGGTTGGATGCTTAGTCCTGCGGCGGCGGCAGTCGAAACGAATCACGACTGCGCTCCATGGGAGGAACAAATTAGAGGTAAAATTAACTCACCTGCGGCAGCTGCACTTGCTTTCTTTGCGTAGTTTCTTGTAAATAACTGCTGTAGCCTTTGCCAAGAACCGCCGTAGTTCAGTTTTTTGCACGACCTTAACAACGCCGTGCAAACCGCCATTTTCATTTTCCTGGCTTCGTCGATGATGATGATTTATGGTTTTGTCCTTTGTAATGGGTTAAAACATTTGTGTTCCAGCCGTAGTATATAAAAAAAAGGAAAAAAAGCAAAAAAAAGAGTTTATTTTTGGCACGACTTCTATTACTGTTGGAGCCATACAGTTTCGTAGAATAATTATTGTATCAAACTTCATGATAGAAGCCTTGCATGGAATTTCATACAACAATACCACAGAACACCTACCATAACACCTAGAGAGGAATCTGGCGCTGCGACGATAGTTATAGCGTGATAACAAAACGACGACACGGAGACAAGAAGGAGGCGAAGGGCACGAGCACTCGTGTTATTCTTCTCCTTCTTGTCTCTTGTGTCGTCGTTTTGTTATCGCGCTATAACTATCGTCATGCCAATGATGCCATACCAACTAGCCCAAGCTGCCACACTTCTGGCGCTGCGGTCGTGTACCCTCCATGGCATAGAGTTTCTCACAATAAATACCGAGAGGGGAATCTGGCGCTAGTGAGCTGCTGAATGCAAGCACTAGAATATAATGACTAGTGTGCCGTCCGCGGCCTTCTAAGTAGTACCCAAGAAGAATATAGCAGGTTTTTATATATCCTCCTTGGTAGTACCAGACCCCGGAAACTCTCCAAGTTCCCGTGATGGCCGTAGACGGCGAAAAAATCAATCACAGCGAGCTTTGTCATTTGCGCGTGTAGTGGAGCTACTATTTCCTTTCTTAGCGGTCGGATAAGTTAATGTGAATTTTTCTTGTTAGGGGCGCTCAACGCGGCTAAAATTTCTATTTTAGGATGTATCAAAACCATAGAGTTTCTCAAAATTAACTAGAGGGCACTCTGGCGCTGCGATCGTTCAGCGACCATGGGAATGAATGATGGGTAGACTAGGGTAGTAGCACGGAGGAAGGAAAGGTCTTCCTCCGTGGGTAGTAGCACCTTTCCTTCCTCCGTGGGTAGTAGTGTAGTACACACATTTGCCTAGTCTTCGTACTTGCGGGTGGCGAATCGTACTTGCGGCTTTGTTTATTGCTGTGTTTCGGTTTTCTTTTGAAAGAAAGAACAAACCCTTTTGAACTTAAGAACTTAAGGACTTGATTCAAAATAAAACGCTTAAAAGAATAAGATTGTGAAGCACAAACGGTGAACGTTTGCTAATTTATGTTTTCGTGAAAAAACAGCTTCAAGCCACACGAACACACACGGAGCCAAAAGCAGGCCAGAAGTACGAAAATTAGACAAATGTGTGTAGTACTATTAGAGTGTACTAGAACTTTTGAGTGGCGCGACCGAAACGCTTTCCCCTTGCTTTCTTCATCCCCAACTTGTGGCGAAAGCAGCGGCGGCGCTGCCATCGCCAAATCTTCCCACTTGGTTTACTCGGCTGGCTCGGCGGCATGGCCGGCATCTCGGTTTTAGTCGCGAAATGACGAAGAAGTTGCGTCTAAACCATTGTTACGCGCTAGGTTGCACAACTGGATATCCGCGTGTGCAACAAAGTCGGAAGTTATCACTTTTCAAGGCCCCGAAAGACGAAGAACGACGACTTCTTTGGGAGCGGAACCTCCATCGGCTTGACAATCCGCTTGACGCCGATTGTGCTGTGTGCGATTTACATTTCAAACCGCATTTCATTGTTAGAGACTACGTACACGTTATCAATGGTGTTCAAGTCCGAATTCCTAGGGGAACGCCGACACTTGCTTCTGATGCAGTCCCGACGATCTTGCCCAACCTGCCAGCATATTTGACGCTCAAAACTCCGGCTCCGCGGACCCAAACAAAGCGGCGTCATCAGTGTGTGCCGGCTAAGAATGACAACAGAAAACGGCGACGCATTAGCACTCCTACACAGCTCCTTGTGGATAGCAACGGTACAACTTCTGCAGATGGCGACGAAGCTGACGAGGCAAGCTCAAATCCCTCGTCTGACGCGGTTGTCACTCTCGGTGACCTTCGTGGTCTTGTCCTACCATCAAAGTCATGGACGGTGCACGAGTTTCCTGGATTTGCCGGCGTGTCGTACGTAGCGTGCTCACTGAATCCTAGCACTCGTGAACTTTGCATTCAACGAGACGTATACTTCACCTGTGCAGACAATGGAATCGTGCAATGTGAAGCATTCGTGCAAGAGAAACTAATCTGCAAGTCCAGTTTAGTAACTGTTCGAGAAGCCTCAGATGCTCTGCAGCTTGTTGCAAGCGTCCCACTCTGTTGTGGAGCAGCAGAAACTTCATTTTTGCCACCATGGGACCTTGCACTCGTGAACTTTGCATTCAACGAGACGTATACTTTACCTGTGCAGACAATGGAATCGTGCAATGTGAAGCATTCGTGCAAGAGAAACTAATCTGCAAGTCCAGTTTAGTAACTGTTCGAGAAGCCTCAGATGCTCTGCAGCTTGTTGCAAGTGTCCCACTCTGTTGTGGAGCAGCAGAAACTTCATTTTTGCCACCATCGGACCTTACCCACGGTCTACACGCGCATATGAAGTCAAGATGAGAAATCTTCTACAGTGTCAAAAGCGCACAGAAGCACCTAAAACTGAGTACGCTATAAATTGCTACAGTGACGTAAAAAGGATATCATTTTTCGTGCATATTTTCTTACACTCATAATTTTTTGACGGTACACCAAGAATAAAAACAATTTTTCCTAGAAGAGGCTTGTAAGCGAGAGAACGTGCTAATAATGACGCGAAATCTCAAAATAAATCTTTGATCTTGCATCTTTTTGTATTAAACCTGTGATGGTAAATTTAGCAGCATTAGGGATCTCGGTGCATAAGTCATCGATCTAAGCCAATTCATTGTTGCACTTCAGTGTCCCTTCAAACGATCTTTCGACCATAACATCTTTTTTTTTTTAAATGCATTTTGGAAAGACAACCTTAACTATGTCGTTCTGTTTGCTTTGCTTTATGTTATCTTTTGTATCCTGGCTCTATATTTTACGTTTTTTACAATTTACCTAATTGCAAATGTATTGTTTTATAAATATGTAAACCTTGCATTTTATGTTATCAATTATGATTAACATTAGTTACGACTCTGCTTTGCAGTGTTGTTCCGTTTTTTAAACTCTCAAAATCTTCCACTACTATGTTTCACCTAAGACATTCTTTTGCAGTATTACGTATTTGCACTTCTGTGGGTCCTACAACAATGAATCTATTCCCATATTTCAAAACCAAAGGGAGGTTTGGAAAAACTCTGCTGTTCTTCAAATAATATCTATAAAGCCTACTTTTTTGTTGTGTGTGCACGCAGCCACAAGCAATGAGCCTTTTATTTGAGTCCAGCTTTGGTGTTTTACGTGGAATGGACCAAGAGTTCTTCCTTTTGTGTGCACCATATTCCTTTTTTTGGGAGGGGGGCACTTCCGGTGTGTACCGGCCAGCTGGTTTCTCGTCTAAAATGTGTACACTTTAAAAATAAAAAAAAAGCGCTCGTTATATTGTACAATGTGCTATGCTGCTTCGGGCTGCAGTGCGGTCAGCAGCAACTTCAATAACAATAAAGTCAAATAACCTTTATTTGCGCGAAAAAGGGGAGGTATGTGAATAAGAAAAAAAAGAGGGAGATCATCTTCACACTAGGCGCGACAGAGAGGTACCAACACGTACGCGGAACACCTGCCAGCCATCCGCCCGGGTAGATTGGTCGACGCCAGCGCCACCGCATCATTCCACGCCGAAACGGCCGCTCCCAGGCAGCTGCTCGCGCCACTCAAAAGCTTCTAGTACACTCTACTACTATCACGGAGGAAGGAAAAAGGTGACTCCGTGACACGGAGGAAGGAAAGGTGCTCCGTGGCTACTATAGAGTACTACCCATCATTCCCATGCCCGTTGAAGTGCCGTGCGTTGCAGCTCCCATAGACACTAGCACCAGAGTTCCCTCTAGTTAGTATTGTGAGAAACTCTATGATCAAAACACCATTAAAAGAGTAGTTAATACGTAATTTTTGATAAAAACTTGAATACCATACTTTTGTTGTATTTTACTAATAATACAAAGATGTGATTGTTTTAGTTCAAGTATTAAGATTATCCTGATGCTCGAAAAGCAGCAGCCCATTGGCATCAATTGCGTTTCTGTCTGTTAATTTGCAACATCGCTCATCACAATCGGTCGCAGTGTGCGACCAATTGTGATGAGCAACAGCTCTCTCCAAGCCGCACTTCCATCCACCCTGAAAACCTGAATACATTGAAGTGAACTGCTTCAAATCCTGAATGATTCTTTCAGCCATGCCATTTTCTGCAGGATGGTACGGAGCGCAGCGTCGCTATACAACTCCTCGTTCTTTCGCCCAATCTTGCAAACACTGACTGAGAAACGCTAGCCCATTGTCTGATATTACTATTTTCGTATTCTTGAACATCTCCCGACTCAAAAGAGCGATCACACTATTTGCGTCTTCCCTTCCCGGCCGTGCAGCTACTATTTTTGTGCACTGGTCTATTCCCACTAGGAAAGACTGCGTTCTTCTTACTCCTCCAGCCTTCTTCTTGAGCTCTGCGAAATCCAGATGAATGACTTCAAATGGTACGTCGGAATGTTGCGGCAAAACCATCTCGTCTGTTCTCTGAAGATACTTGGCTTTGTGAACTTGGCATTGATGACAAGACTGAGCATACCGTTGAACGTCCTCTTTCATGTGTTTCCACTGGAAACGCTGACGAATCTTGTGATATGTCCTCCAAATGCCGTCATGTCCACCTGAGTGTGTGGAGTCGTGATAAAGCTCCAAAATTCGAGGCACCATTGTTTCTGGGACTGTGAACTGTCCGTTATGGAACTTAAGTTCTTCAGTTGCCTCCCACAACAATGTTGCATTAACATTTTTATAATCTGGAACTACCACAAGTCTTGAAAGTGCATCTGCGTCCTTGAGGTGTTCTCCAGGCCTGTGGTGGACCATGAAAGTAAACTGCTGGAGTTCACTCACCCACCTAGCAATTTTTCCTCGAGGCTCGGCGAGGTTAAGGATATACGTTAAGGCTTGGTGATCCGTGAAGAGCTTGAAGCTCCTGCCATCCAGGTAAGGTCTAAAATAGCGTACGGCCATTATTCCTCTTAGTCATTTCTGTGAGGCATTTGGTTTTGGTCGCATAATCTCTAATAAATGGCCAGAAATGCCCTTCAAGACCCAGAAATACCCGCAAAGAGTGCAAGTCATATGGCTTCTGCATTTTTGCGATTCGTTCGACTGATTCCTGTTTTGTTGTCTTGGTTTGGCCGTCAAATACTCTTCCAAGAAATACCACTTTTCTTTGGAAAAACCCACTCTTCTTGTCATTACTTTTGAGCTCGGCATCACA